ATTAGATTTCACGTTACTCATTTACCATTTCTCTGCTACTTCTGGCAACACTCGGCAACAAAGCAGTGATTCGGCTATTTCAGGTGCCTCATTGTACCACCACATATCAAGACGTACGGAGCGAGCATATTGCATTATTTACTTCTGCGAACATTCAAAATATCAATACTTTCTCGCGCGTCCAGTAAGGCCCTTGGGTCAACCGGGTATGAAAGAGCCATTTAGCCTCATAAGCGAGCTCAGACCCATCTTCTGAGAATCTCGCAAGTACATTATTTTTTGGACATTACGTTCTACACCCATTTATAAACCATTTACTAAACATAGCTAACCTATATAAGACTCATCAAATATGGATTAAGAAATAAATTTGTGACTTGTTATGACAGATCTACTCACAAGTTCGATTATTGTATCGCCAAGGTGAGGAAATTGACAACAAATCAGTGTGAGAAATATTAAATAGGCATGAGTTTTCACTAGAGTTCTATCTGACGCCTAATAGAACGAGAATCCCCTAGGAGCTAAACTTTGCAACACTCTGGTTCACTTTGCCCTTTGCTCCAAATAAGGACCACGAAGACATCTTTTCTTATTGCAAAAGTTCAAGAATAGCAACAGAGCTAGTAGCGAGCATAAAGTTTGCTATAGTTCCCTCAACTAAACTTCATTTTCTTTCCTTGGCTATTCAATGATCTAACGCAGACCTACTATAATAACCAAAACCTGGGTCTGAACCGGTCATGCGGCTCATCTGTATCACTCTTAGGCATCTCTACGGTAATCGCACGCACACCGTCACAGAGTCTCAACTGACCCAACTCAAAGAAGATTCATATGCATCACACTAACCGGTTCTGCGTGGCAAACGTGAAAATATTACACCTTTTTGCGGTTTGATCAACCAGGCATCAAAATTCTTACTGAAGCCAGCTTAAATTCATTCCCAGTTAGGCAAACGTGCTTCCACCATAGAATGGCAATAACAGATATCATGTCACTGGACATTTTATAGGAACTTAGCAAATAGGAATGAAGCAACCAAACAAGGTGCGACTTTGCAGAAGGCAAGATGCACAGCAATAGATAACTTAAAGGACGAAATGGTCCAGATATTATTCTATATTCCATAGCAAAGAGACAAGCATAACAAGAGAATTTATCTAGTACTCATCAACATTCTAGACATAAATTTATTACAAAAGTCGATGTCACTTAGTCATCAGATTCAACTAGATGACAGCCAGATAGCGAATGCCATCCGGTGATGCACAAGCAATTGGGATGAAGAAAATGCTTATAGAAGAGTGCAATGAAAATTTCCACCAGAATATAGGCTACCATGTTAAAGTGCCCATGAGATTAAACCACCGGTCATAAAAGACTAGGAGCTTAAGGAATTGTGCGCTGGTAGAGAGGCAATGCTCCCAAAGCTTCACGTTCTACTTTCTCCTTCTTAACCTGCAAAATCTCACATAAGAAATTCTTAGTGATTTGTGCATATACAGACTGAAAAATAACTAGCTGCCACCATCTAAAACCAAGTGAATCAAAGAAAACTAGTTCCCAAAAATTATCTCAGCTATGACTTTGACGGATCATTTGGCAGGTACATTTCATTAAACCAGAAAAAAGGGCATGACCGGAGGAGAGGAGGGAATCAAGATAGAATGAGAGAGACCCAGAAAAACATGAGCACGTGCACACTCAAAAAACATATCACTCAACACTAATTGTACAACAGGAAATCAATCTTGACAGAAGAAAAAAAATTCCTTACACAAGAAGTATCAAGTCCACTTACTTCCTGTAATAGAATTGGTTAAAAAAATTCACAACAGACTTCAATTCATTCAAGCATCCGAAACTACTATAAACCTCCAAACTCGGTAAGTTAAAACGCAACAGTTAAAAGATTCAAAGTTTCACGAGACAAGTCTCAGCTGATTAACTCTACAGGAAGATAAGCTCAAGGACCAATAAAACTGCCACAAAAGTATTTCATTAAACAATGATATTACAGCTAGTGAGACAAACTATACGACGCCAATGTGATGTGCCACTTTCATATCTTTTCTTTACGGCATTGGTTCACTCTTCAAATCAACAATAGGGATTCTTTCTCCAATAGTCAAACACATATCGAACTTCACAATCACAGCCGAGAAGGTTAAAATTTTTTTTTTGTACGAAACTGATGTCTAAGCCATAACAAAATCCAGAAGTGCCGAAAAGCATACCATGTAACTTCAGAAAGCTGTATCAATCCTAATACTTAAGAGTTCATAAGATAAAAATACTCCTTTTTTACTTTTAATTATAAATTAAATGGAAGTAGACGGTTGTGCGCATAGCCAAACTCTAAATATTTCTTCTCCCTCCCCCCCTCCCTTTTTAGGGTTCTTTAAAGGGTGAGGTTTAGGACCTAGGACACTCTCCGGGGGCCTCCGTGACGGTGTCGGACACATGTCGGACATGTCGGACACCGACACTCGTCCAACACTCCTTTTTTTTAATTATTTATTTATTTGTGGATTTGAATCAAATTAATTTGATTCAAATAATCATAAAAATGATAATTTATCGTGTATGTATAAATATATACATTTAATATATGTGTCCCAACGTGTCGGAATTCTCTATGTTTTATAAATGACGTGTCGGCGTGTCGTATTGTGTCGTGTTGCGTGTCGGTGCTACTTAGTTGAGGACCAGATATTAAGGGTAGGATTAGGAATACAACAATAATTCAGTTCTCCACAACAAAAAAGTTCAAACAATTAAATGTTTAGTTGTAAGTATATTGAGGAGCACCAAACGGGTGCTTCCCATTATTCAAACAATCGAGCCACCTATTTGAGCTTTGGATCGCCTCTTACTTGATTCTTGAGATTAATATGGTATTCAATTGAACCTACCTTAAAAAGCACACCACAACTCGTCGCCACAAATAACTTCTTCATTTTAGCAGTCCACCTTTTTACATCCGATAGATTGTCAAATTTCCATATGAGAACTAACAAATTCACACAACTAAAGATCCACTCCAATCACACGGGCCAATGTAGCAATAACAAAGATTCACAAGAGACCCAGCGAGACTCCTGAGGCTGCTTAAAAGTTCTCTCTCAATGCAAAGGAAGCATGGAGCCAGATCACCATTCATAGCAATCTATACATACGTGTCCTCTGTGCAACAGAAACTTACCAGAGCAAGCATTTCCTGAAGGTAGCTTCTGAAAGGAGTTTGCATAGCCTGGCAGGGGGTAAGAACGAGACACATTAAGAAAAGCAATTGCTCAAAACACACACCCTTGCTCAAATTACAGCAGGTGAACAAGCAACAACACCCAACAACAAAGAATACTTCCACGAAGCGCAAAACGCTCGCGCGCACACCGCCTCCGCAAGTTTTCCGTATCCTATCCCGATCCCGTCCCCATCAATTTAATCTCTTATTCACCGACAAGAATGTTCGAACAACGATATCAAAGCGAGTCGCAATCCAAGACAAGCTTCAGGGAAATGCCGGATACCTGGAGATTCTCGGGAAGGTACTCGTGCTTCATGGAGAGGTCCATGGCGCGCTTGAGGCGCTGGTTCCGGGCGTCCACGATCTCCCTGGGCAGCCGATGGAGCGCCTCCTTCACGTCCAGATCGTAGTAAGGATCGTAAAGATCATCGTACCGGAGCCCTACACAACGCAATCTCGAGCATCAGAACTCGACCCCCCCCCCCCCCCCCCCCCCAAAAAGAAAAACACACACACACACACAACAAAACCGGAAGCTCGAGCCGGCGGCGGCGGCGGCGGCGGCAACATCAACCGCAAAGCCAACCGGCGACGGCGACCGAAGAACCAAATCGAGCAATCGCAATCCTCGAATCGATCGCGAGAGCAAAAAAGAAACGAAGAGAGAGAAAACGGGGGAATCGATGAAGAAGCAGTTGTGCTGCTTCTGCTTCGGAAACGGACCGTAGTGGCGGAGGCGCTTGGAGACGGATTTCATGTGCTGGGCGGCGAACCAGTTCTTCTTCGGATCCAGAAGCGACTGCAGGAACGACGACATCTTCGCTCTCGCTCGCTCGACGACGACGACGATGAAGAACTTCTGGAAAGATCTTCCTTCCGGCGTCGTCCTCTCGTTTTGATATCTGCGGGTCGGTTCGTGGGCTCTGAGCGGAGCGTGGGCTTTCCGGCCCGGACCGGCCCGGATAAAATTGTGCAGGCCGGGCCGGAGTTGATTTCCGGTCCGATTGCTGACGTGGCGCTGCTCGGATTGGAGCGTGATTGAACCGGGATTATCTACCCATTTTTAAGTTCCCTTCAATTTCAGTAGAGCAATGTCGGCGGCGCGGTCGGGACGCCTCCAGAATAGAGAGACTTGAGTGCACCGCTCCGGTCTCCTGATGACATTGCCGGTTGGCTCGGGACAAGGCGCGAATAGAGAGTATCGGGTCCTTGGATAAGCTATCGAGTGCTTTTGGCTTCCTACTTTTGGTACTCTTTTTCGATAGAACTGTGGTCACAAACATTTTATCGCGTGATCGTGCACGGTTCGATGAGAAGACGATCATAGCTGGCGAAAGAGAGGTCGGGTCGTCGGATATACGTCGATGTGGCTTGGTCTTAACATTCTCTTAGCGGTGCAGTTCCCAGGTAATGTGTTGCCGTATCTGATGCGCTCGCCACCATCCACGGTCGGCCGCGGAACTTCGGCTCGGCATAGGCATTGTGGCCGTTGTCGATACGGAAGTCTCTGTGCAAACTTCCATGGGCAGGTCAGGATCAGATTTTGATGCTTCTTGTTCTTATGAATATGAAAAACTAAAGGTTCAGTTGTGCGATCGACATCCATACTACTGCTCGATATATTCATCCTTCCCTCTCGGGTGCTCACCGGCGCGACGGGGCGGTACCGGATCTATCGTTTTCACCATGAAAACATTCCAAGAATTGCCAGCCATGTTCGTACCCCTCGCAAATTGACGTGACACAGTGATAATAACAGCAGCATTTGGAAATGTTCTGTACTGTCTCTTAACAAATACATCACCTTCAGAAAGCTCTTTCGATTCAAAGGAACTTCTTTACTTGGTGGTCTCGAAAGACCGGAGGGACTCCATGTTTCTTCACTATTCATTTTGGCTCCTCGTGTGCGAGACAAATCAGCAGAAACAATCTCTGAAAAGGCTTCTCAGATATGAGTTGCTGTACGCTGGCGGTCGGAACGTACCGCATGCTGACACTTAATACAGCATTCTGGGACAATCGGTAGTTGGTGAGTAAGCCGTCTTTGCTCGAGCTCCTTACGACATCTGGCTTATCAGTCGAGCAGCATCAGCGCGAGGCCGTCTTGAGGGAAATCAGGGTGAAATGATAGCAGGAACCTAGCACATCAACAGAAGAGCTTCGCGTGTCCGGCCGAGGAGACTCAACACGGTCGCGGCAATGTGATGCCCAGTGAGCCCAGCAAGGGAAAGCTGTTCGTTTGGTGACGCATGCTCTATGTAGGCATCAGGTAAGACAATCGGCCGCCACTGGAGGAATCAAACCCAATCAGTACAGCTTGAAGATGGTATCTCACAATTCAATAAATTTTCCTTCTGCATGGGTACTGCACAATACTTATAATGGCCTTGCCTATTGTGGCCAATACCAGGTATCAAACTAATGGAGGTAAAATTCCCTCATGCTAAAACCATAGAATGTTTGCGAATTATGGCCAATACCAGGTATCGAACTAATAAAAAAGAAATGATTCGCCCTTTCTGTAGTTATTCTTTCATTTATCTTGGCTTTGAGATGCAAAAATCAGATGATGCCAACAGGAACGGAGGGCCAGTCGTTCCTCAAGAAAAAATGCATGACAAGGGCAAAATCACAAATACAGAATTATAGAGAGGATGATGCTGTACCTTTATTCTCCCATCAAGCCGTCCATCAAGTGCAATGAACTGCGCGACATGGGAACCGAAACCTCCAATGGATCCTTCCTCAACAGTGACCAGGAAGGCATGATTTTCGCACAGCTCCCTAAGTAACCCCATGTCAAGCGGTTTGCAGAATCTTGCATCCGCAACAGTCACCTCAATTCCGAGCTTTGAAAGAAGGGACCGAGCTTTGACGCAGTTCTGAACCATTGACCCATAACCAAGCAAAGCAACATCTTTACCTTCTGCAAGAATTCTCCCTCTTCCAATCTGCTCTGCAAATGCAGAAATTTAATCAAAGCCCTACAATATGACGACACGACACTTCAACTATGCATCAAAGCAAATGATATCATTTTTTGATAAGTATGCAATAGTAGATAATGCGATGTAAGATGACACGTAACAACTTGCATTTAACCAAATAGATCGATTCGCGTTTGCATATTTAGCAAATAGATTTGAGCTATTACATATGCAGACCTAAAACTGATATTCAGTTATAACAAATCCTGGAAGGAAATTCTAATGAGAACGGAACACGATGATAATCGCTACAAGGAAGGTATAGACTTCATATCTCATTAAGAACAAGCAGCAAGTGGTGTTCTCCCGTTCCTACTATCAAAAAGGAAAACCTTTGGTGGTTATCGACATGAAAATTGGTCGAGGAAATTCATGAAGAAGAGGGAACAAATCAAACACGTCATCCGCGTGTTTAATGTTCTTAACGGTAAACTAACAATAACTAGAACCATTTACATTTTATTAATCTCTTTGGAATTTAAGCACACATTTATGTGAGCTCCTCAGTTTCACAGAATGGAGATTCAAACGTAGAAAACAATATCAACGGGGAGTAAGACTGCAGAAGCATTACCTCGATGGGGATCCCATGACTCAGAGACTTGTCTGTCCGAACAATTGCACCTCGTGGATACCGGAAGCAAATTGGACGATCATCAACCATGGCAGCAGTTTCTACCATGTCCACTAACTCATCTTCATCAGATGGTGCCATGACAATCATGTTGGGCAAACATGACATGAACGTTATATCAAAAGCCCCACACTGCACAGGGCCATTAGATCCTACCAAGCCTGCACTTGTAATGACAAAACGGACAGGAATTCTTTGCCGATCAACATCATGGACCACCTAAGGCCACAAATTCTCTATAAGGAAATCTGTCTAGAAGTTATCGGGACCATATATAGACAGCTGAAAAGGTAAGAACCTGATCAAATGCTCTCTGAAGAAATGTAGATGGGATCACGCAAAATGGCTTTAATCCACCACATGATAAACCCGCGGAAAATGTAACCGCATGTTGCTCAGCCATTCCTACATCAAAAAACTTGTCTGGAAACTTTTCGCGAAACAACTGAAGCGATGGTTCCACCTCCACTCCCCCATGAACCATCACAACATCTTTGTCACTCTCTGCCTTCCTAACCAGTGCCTCCACAAAACAATCACTATATGTCCTGGGTTGATAATTAGATGCCACCGAATCATAACTGCTTGAACCTGAAGAGCACAACAAACACAAACAACAAATGTTGAGTGAAACATCACTCTAGGACAGCTAGAGCATATAGGAACTTTCTTCTATGAAAATATGGTGCATTTAGCAGTCGGCTCTGGAGTTTTAGTTGGAAGATAGCAGCATTTAGGGAAAACTTACACATCTTCACCCTAGTTGCATAATCTAATACCATAATTATGTAATAGGTGTGACTAAGAAACTAAAAGGGCTATAGTACAGAATTCAATGTGGATGAAGAAAATCTGACAATGACTAAACAAAGAAATGTGCAATAATAGGCTAAAAAAGTCAGTTAAACATCATGCATCCGGACCATGTAAAGGCCAAACAGAAGCAGAGTTGACTCTCAGCTCATCAGCATTTATATGATTTGTATGGTTGTCTCTCAAGAGTGATGAAATAATCATCACAGGCAGCCATTTTATTGCCCAAAAATCTGATCTGTGAATTGACAAGCTAACTATACAAACAGCAAACAGTTCAAATGTCGAGCAAAATCCATCAAGCTGGTCCCGGGTTCAGAATTTATTTCTACTTGTGTAATCAGTTGGAAACTACATGAGAATGAAAGGAAATCAACAATTCATCATAAATAAAATACGCAGTTACACACAGGACAAAGGTGGAAAATTATACCATGAAGCACAAAACCAAATATTAACTATAGAGAGCCGGTTTACACGTTTGGCTGCTTTACAAGTCAATAAGTTCTCAATTGAAAACAGTAAAGCGCAGAATTCCTGATGATATCTGACATACCTTCGCCTAAATTCTCATCAATCTCACTCCGCTGACTATGTTCAATCCCTTGATTTTCCTCGGTTACAACATGAATCAGTACAGGACCCATCGAATTTAGTGACACCACTTCTTGGAAAACACAAACCAAGTCCTCAATGTTATGGCCATCAATAGGGCCAATATAGTACAAGCCAAGCTCTTCAAAGAGAGTCGCACCGGGCGGACCCATCATACCACGAGCAAATTCATCAACTTTGGCCGCCCATTCATGCATGCCCCTGCCAATTTTTTTAGTAACACCCTGGGAAAAGAAGAAAACTGCATGTTAAATAAGGGTATAGACGATTGCCACTATTGTACACTACCATTTCAGTTATCGCTAGTAAAGATCTGGTTACAGGGAAAAGTGCCAACAAGTTAGTGTTTTTCCTTTTTATCCTAAAAAAATATATTCAAGGTTTTTTAGGGGTTTCTCTTCATTTCTCTTTGGAATAAGTGCACTAGGAGTCTTAAAACTTGTCGTGAAAATGCAATTGAATCCTAAAACTTTCAAATGTCCAATTGGTAAAATCAGGTACCGTTAGCTCCATCTAATTTGAGTAATGAAAAATGCTGATGTGGCTTTCCCTAACATATTTCCAAGACACACAGTGTTGCGGTGGGCGCCACCTCAAAAAAATGCCAAAGAGAAAACAAAAACAAAAACAAAAGACCACAACCAAAAGGAAAATTAAAACAGAACTGGTATACAAAGACATCACAGGGAGAGGGTTGTTTCAAAGGGGAGCACAAGTTCGTCACGAGGGCTGGCAGCCCTCACACAGGATTTGTGCCACTGCTTGCCAGCACTGTGCAAGGTTCAGCCAACCCTCGCATAAAAAGAAGGAACTAAAACATTCCACCAGCTACAACATTTATTTTTTTTGCCAATAGAATAAAAAGCTATAACAATTTTTCACTTCAAGCACAAGTGCATTCCTGAGTTTTTTTTCTCTTCTTCATTCAAACAGGTTTGGTTTGGAATGCACAATCGAAACCCAGTGGCTATGGCATCCTTGATTGCTACACAGCATGCAACTTCCACAAGTTCTCTTGCTAGCCCGTCCAAAATCAAGGTCTCGACTTCTTCCACCAACTTCTGTGACTTCAATGCTTTGCTCTCCTTTAACTGCCCCTTTCTATTCATTCTCGAGAATCCACTTGCCAGAGCAATGTAGTCTGAGTTCATGTGGTCGCGACAGACTTCGCCTCCGAAATTAGCACCAACATCAACTAGGTTCTCAGTCATGTTTGCATTCTCACTGCCTCTTGTCAGACTCAAGGGCTAACCAACCCCCGGGCGGTGGTAGTGAGTGGTGAGGCCAAGCAATCCACGCTCGTAGCCCCTCACCCGCTTGACTGGCCCTGGCCTATGGCTAGGTGAGGGTCATTGGCCCCTGCCAAGACCGTGACAAGGGTTGCTGGCCCTCGCCAGAAAAGTAGGGTCTAGCGGCACCACCTCTCCACCCCGGCACTCTCTAACTAAATAGAATCAAAACTTCAATTTGTTTTTACCACGATTTTCGTTTTTTTTTTTTATTTTTGTAATTTTCAAGCTTTCATAAGCCTTTTGGATAAAATGTTTGAAGTTCTTTCTCTAACGTGTCACCATATCAGTGCCGTGTGCCTTGAAAACATATTTAATAACGCCGCATCAGTATTTTCCATCATTCAAATTAGACGGAGTTAAGAGAGGTACTCAACTGAACCAACTGGAGAAGTTTTGGGATTGAATTGCAATTATTGAAAGTTTTAGGACTCGAATCACTTTTGCAACAAATTTTAGGACTTCTAGTGAAATTATCCCTTTCCCTTTGACATGACTTACATCTTAGTTGTTACATTGCACTTTGCACGGTCTAAAGAGATGACAACTTGAGAATCTAGTTCAATAGGAGATAGTTTGGCTTGTACTTGACTTTGAGTGATTATAAAAGGACAATTCAAAACTTCAATTCGTACATACAAAGTTAGGATCACAACATATTCCTTTATACTATGATGAAGAGCACCTAATCGCAAACATTTAAGAGATATTCTCTACTAAACACCACAATGACATTAATCAAAAGCTTTTTCTATTAAGTGGAGTCAGCTCCAAGGATCTTATACACATTGTGCTCTGTTTAGGATGAAATCCTTATTAAACATTATCAATCTATTGATCTCTACTAAGCACACATTGTACTGCATTTGGAACTTAGCACTGCTAAGATGAGCCTAAAACGGGAAACTACTGGAATTATCCATCTATCATCATGTCCTACACAAATAAAGGGGCTTGTGTGGTAACTTTTAAGGTTGAGCACTTCTGTGGAAGAAGCACTTGATTAACATCTCACATCCAATACAAGTAGCTTAATTGTCATATTTCCATTACAATAAACAAGCTATAGCTAGGACAAACAAAAAGATGGTCAGGAGCGAGGTGGATATTCTATTTTAGTATGGTCATAATCGGGATCTAGTTATTTCTCAAAGTCAGCAACATATTTTCAACATGTGCATTGTCAATCTATAAAAAATTTCAAGTCCCTCTTCATGACCTGAAAGCAACCATTGAAACAATCCAAATAAATTGCATACCTTGGCAACTTCTCTAAACTTCCGGAAAGATTTGCTTGACTGGAGCTTACTTAGAGTACTAGAGAGCGCATTGATAGATGTCTTCGGGCCCTCTTCAACATTTGGGTGCAAAGAATGACGACTATCATTCAAGATAACTATCATATCAGAGTCCAAGTAACCTGCATTGCTCATTGCCTCATAGACCTGGCCAGCCATTGTAGTTCCATTGCTTATGACTGTCAGAATTCGTTCACGTTTTCCCTTCATATCCCGTGCAACTGCCATGCCTAAAATGATATAATGTATTACTTAAGCTTCCTTCTCATTAGTGGACATAGAACAGCTTGCAAGAGTACCAACATTCATGTAATCAAAAGCTATGTTATAAAACCAACATGTCACGTGAGAATTGACTGCGAGAGACATTACCTAGCCCTGCAGAAATGCTGCTGCATCCATGTCCCGCACCAAAAGGATCATATTCACTTTCAGATCGAGAAGTGAAACCAGACAAACCGTCCTTTTGTCTCAAAGTGTTCATAAGGGATCTCCTTCCAGTAAGCATTTTATGCGCATATGTCTTTCAAGTAAACAGGATAAACAATTTAATACTTTGAACATGCAATTGTGCACATGTACTTAATAATTTTAAGGATCACACACAGCACATAAACACATGCTGATTGCTAACCGTTACTCACTTGTTCCCCAATATCCCACAAAATTTTGTCTGCAGGAGCATGAAAAACGTGATGTATTGCCACTGTCAGCTCAACAACTGCCAGACTAGCTTTCAAAGGTTTTTGTGCTTTGCTTAATATTGAGGATAATTCTAAACGGATTTCATCAGCTAATTGTCGCAGTTCCTGCCAAACTAATTATTAGTGATAGAGATGAGATCAGCTTGAGCAGGCGATCATATCCACCAAAAGGAGAAAATGAGCAAACCTTTGTAGACAGGTTCTTGACATTGGTAGGGCTCTCAATAACATCCAGCATGGGGGTTGGTACTTTCTCATAGAAGAAATCATCATCATCAGGCAAAGAATTGATTTGACTAAAAACATTCTGCATCGAGAAAACTCAATAGTCATAAACCCCACAGTAACAATTGTCAAGATCATTCCAGACGTATATATTGTTGAACAATTTCCGCTCAATCATTTTCTGAAAAATCCACAGTGACTAGTTTACGAATTTAATGAGAATGAAGAACAAAATCAAAATGAAGAATGAACACTGTCAGGTGGCATTTTAAAGGAACAATAGTGCTGTATAATCTATAAGGTACATGTTCGCCAGAAACCATGGACAAGAACATCGCTCAAATGGTATCTTTTCCCCAACATTATCCATAGTTAACTGGTAGAACCTGTCCAAACTGCTAATGCAGATCAGTAGTCACCCAGTACATCAGGCTCCACTTCACAAACACGCGCCACTTGTACTTCCAGCCACGAGCAAGAGACGTAACCACCAAATACAACTTTTTCTCGAGATGGGTTCGTTCGATTTTTCAATGCTGAGCAATTACTGCACGAGGTGGGCAGACAGCCCACATGACAACATAAGCTCCGAAAACAGAAAGAACACAGCCATCAAGATCAATGCCTTCTCAGCGAGCGAGCGAGCGAAACGTCTCTACACACGCGCGAAACAACCACCGAATCGAGCGGGAAAAATCCTCGCCGTTACCTTCGAGCGAGTCGTCCCGGAAGCAGGAGCGATCTTGCAAACCTCCGCAGTTGGCGAAAACCGACAGCCCCAAGACTCCACCTTGCTGGAGCCCGAGCACGAGGGCCGCCGTTCGCCGTGATTGCCGCAGGCTCCGAACGCGGAGAAGCGAGCCGAAGCAGCGGCCATCCGCGGAGAGATCACCAGTCAACCTAGCGTCCTCGGCTAGAAGGAGGACTTCCACCCCTGATGACGAACGCGAGCTCGGCCTCACCGAAGGAGCGCGCGGGTTCCGAGCTCAGGCGAGCGAGAGGACACTTGCAGGGCGGCGGCGGTGCCGGCGCCGCCGTTGAAGGGCGCGAGCGGCGGCGGGTGTTCGGCGGCTTTGCCGGCGCTCGCCGGAGGCTTCGAAGGTGAAGGTGAAGATGAAGTGATGATGACGGCGAAGTTGAAACTGAGAGAGAGAGAGAGAGAGACGAGAGAAGACAAATGGAGCATCGCAGGAGAATCGAGACGGTTGGAGAGAGAAATGTTCCCCCAATTTTTTTTTTATTTTCTATTTTTATTTTTGCCTTTGTTTTTTGTTTTATTATTTGTCACTTAATGATCTTACTTTACAAGAAAATAATTTATTTTTGGGAAAAAACCACCAAAAACCCCAAACTTTGCCATCTGTGACACATTTACCCCGAACTTTTTTTTGTGACACCAAAAACCCCGAACTTTCTTTTTGTGACACATTTACCCCAATGTATTTAGTCCATGGGCATTTTCGTCTTTTTGCTTTTTTTTTTTTTTTTTTCCGTGAGGGCCTTGCCGGATCCGGTGAGGGGCTCTCGCCGGCGTCGAGCGAGGGCGGCCCTCGCCAGATCCGGCGAGGGCGGCCCTCGCCGGCGTCAGCGAGGTCGCCTCGCTCGGGGAACGAGGGCGGCCCTCGCCGACAGCCGGCGAGGGCGACCCTCGCTCGACGCCGGCGAGGTCGCCCTCGCCCGATCCGGCGAGGGCCGCCCTCGCCGGCGTCGGCGAGGCCGCCCGCGCTGAGTCGGGCGAGGCGACCCTCGCCGACGCCGGCAGTCGACCTCGCCGGATCGGGCGAGGGCCGCCCTCGCTCGCCCGGGTGAGGCGGACCTCGCGCCCGCCGCGAGGGTCGCCCTCGCTCGGCGAGCGAGGCGGCCCTCGCCCGACTCGGCGAGGTCGACCCTCGCCGACGCCGGCGAGGGTCGACCTCGCTCGAGTCGGGCGAGGCCGCCTCGCTCGCCTGTGCGAGGCGAACCTCGCCGACGCCGGCGAGGGCCGCCTCGCCGAACCGGCGAGGCCACCCTCGCTCGATGCGCTGCGAGGGCCCCCTCACGGAAAGGAAAAAAATAGAAAAAAAAAGAAAAAGCAAAAAGACGAAAATGCCCATGGACTAAATACATTGGGGTAAATGTGTCACAAAAAGCAAAGTTCAGGGTTTTTGGTGTCACAAAAAAAAGTTCGGGGTAAATGTGTCACAGATGGCAAAGTTTGGGGTTTTTGGTGATTTTTTCCCTTTATTTTTTTAGTTTACTAATTATGCACTAGGGTTAATACAACGAAAAGTCCTAAACCGGTATGTCGGTAAAAACCACCAAAAACTCCAAACTGGTACACCTGTGATAAATTTACCCTCAATTAGTTTCCATTTTATTGGATTAATACCACAGAAAACCACAAACTGGAAGTAAAATCTCAAGTCGGTACACTCGTCAACTACCACGTGTCATCCAATTCAGAAATTTGATGGTAAAATTTAACGGAAACTGACGGTAGTAATTTGTCACGGGTGTACCGGTCTTGGGTTTTTGGTGATCGAAAAATTAGTTTTGGGTAAATTTATCACGAGTGCACTTGTTTGAGGTTTTTCATGGTATTAACCCTATACACAACACGAAATTAATAACATTTTGAAAATGACAGAATAAATACTATGGTGATATTTATTTAACTTAGGAAATATGTGTTCATTGAGTTGAATGGAATTGAAGACTTTTTTTCGATGGCTCGTCCGTTTTTAGATTTCTGAAGTAATTTTCATCTATTTGACTTTCGCACAAAAACCAATTAATGTGATATTAAAAGTTATGAAGGGGATTGCGCGTGAATTATCCCAGGAACCACAGAAATTTTCGCGAGAATATTTCTCTCTCCATCTTAACGTTTCGATTCAGATAAAATGGATAGCATCCCCGAATTAAAAGAAGAAATTTCATATGAAGTAATTGTGGTTTATGAATTTTCACTTATAGCCATCTCTTGTGACTTTTGGAAGATTATCTCGGCAGCATACAATTTGCAAAAGTGAATATAGAGACTACTTTATAGATTTTCATCAAATAGTTAGAAAAGGAAAAAATCTTACAATTTAATTACAATTAGTACGGGACCTGAGTAAGTCCTAAAGCTGCTTTGTCTGAACTCGGGGACCTTAAAATTTGGGGGTATTCCGTGATGTGCGGGCATCGGCACGTTAAAATAAGGAATCCAGTCCTGTCAGCCTGGTAGGCGTATATACTTGGATAGGCGGGGCGGCTCCTGTTGGAAGCTTCTGCTTCCCCTGCTTTGGTGAGGTACCCTCAGTAATCACCACCAATGATCCAAGGCAGGCTCCCAATTACTAATTGTAATTATTTCGATTAGTATACCTTTTCTTGTACCAATATATAAAAAGGATGAGGGCCCTCTACATGTAGGAGTTAAAACTTATACCATAAGATTAAAATTTTCTTATAAATTGGACACATCAACAATCCCTCGGAGGGTCTAAATTTATCCGTATCATCCATTTGATGTGACTTTACCAAACTATTTTTGTAACATCCCGAATTTCGACCCGTTCCCGGACCAATAAAGTGTATATTAATTCTCTTTTAATTTTAGTAAGTCTCGTCCAGAGCTGATCACTCATGGGATACTAACCCAATGGGAATGGCTAAATAGGAAAAACGGTACGTGGACCGGGGATCCAATCGCGAAATTGGACCCTAACTTCGATGTCGAAATTTTGTGGACGTTTGCTACTATTTTGTAAGGCCGACGTCATTTTAGTGTGGCCACATATGTTTGGGGCTAGTACGGCTGAAAATTGGAATTTCGGCAGAAATTGGAAAAATTTACAATTTTGGCCCTAGAGACTTCGGCAGCCGTTTTTGGGGCCAAATGAGATTATTTTTCGAGGCCGATGCCATTTTGGGGTGGCCACGCATATCTGGAGTGCGTACGGTCGAAAAATGGAATTTCGATCCCGGGGCGAAAAATTACGGTTTTACCCCTCGAAACTTTCGGGCTGATTTTCGAGGGCTTAACGCATGATTTTTATGAATCCGATGTCATATTATGCTGGCCACGCATATATAGGACTGATATGGATAAAAATTGGAATTTTGACCCGGGACCGGAAAATTACCAAAATGCCCTTGGACCCATTTTTGGTAATTCCGAATTTTGGTCATTTTTGGGACTTAACTAAGGTTAATTGGGTCAACTATGGTCTGGTCAGCCAATAATTGAGGGCAAATGACCATTTTGTCCATACATTATTGGATTAGGGTGAATCTTAGCCATTGGATGAGGGGCAATTTGGTCCAACCCCTTGGATCTTTGACATGTGTCCTCCACTAAGCCAACTTTGACCAATATTTGACCCTCTTCTCTCTCTTCTTCCCCTCATTCGGCCAAGCTTCCTCGTTCACTCACCCCTTGGACGCCGTTTCCTCCTCCTCCGTTTCCCTCTCGTCGCCGCCGTGAAGACCAGCCACGCCGGAGCTCGTAGTCGCCGGCCGGGACCGGAACAGTGCCGCCGACTCGCCTCACCGTCCTCACCATCATCACCGCTTCACCTTTTTCCCATTTTCCTTTGTCTACACTTCCATTTTCCCTTTCTCGGCCCTTCAAGCCGGATCACCGCCGGAGCTCCACCGCCGCCGCGCCAGAGCCCATCCAACCGAGCTGTTGCCGCTGTGGCGCCACGCCATCATCCTCAGCCCCATACGACCACTTTCTCTCCCTCTTCTCCGTCATCTCGCCGTCGATCGGTGCCAAGGCCGAGGGGACCGCCGGGCCCTCGCCGCCGCCGCCGAGCGCTACCGGCCGCTGTTCAGGCCAGCCACCGCCGTTCCCTTCGCCGTGCCACCGTCTCCGACGTCCCTAGCCCTCAGCCCGAGATTGCCGCCGCCTCCCCTGTCTCGGCCGTGAGTGGCTGTGAGTCCACCGGCGCCACCATGAGCCGCCGGCTTGTTCCCCGGAACGCCGCCGCCGATTTTACCGCGTGTCGATAATTGGCCACCTGTTCCCGTCGACCGAGTCAAATTTAGACGAGTATAAATCCCTAAACCCCGAATTAGTTTAATTGTGCATTTATGGGTTAATTAGGGGTTAATTAGGCTTGATTATGGTTTAGATATGTGTAATTGTGTGTTGGATGATTAGGGGATGTAATTAGAGCCTAATTGAGTGATTTAGGCATGGTTTAGTGTCAAAAATGGGTGCTGCCCTGGTACTGTTCACACAGAACCGAAAATGCACTAAATTGCCTAAGTTGAGAATTAAATGGGTTTGTGAGTAATGGCTTGAATTTAGGCAATTTAGTGACTAATAAGGACTTGTTCAAATCCTATTGGGTGACACCATGTTTGTGAGAATGACGACTGAGATTGGTTCGTCCATGGCGGGTCGTAGGCGCCGTGAATTGCATTGAAATGAATGCGTGGAATAAGTGCCGGGTTTAAGTGGACTAAAATGGAATGAATTGTACGTGCCGATAATGCGTTGAATTCGTTGAATTTATGAATAATTGTACTTGGCATATTGGCATTGATAATTGGCTTGGATTCCATTTCTCGCGATTTCGTTATTAGTGTTTCAATATGGTTGAAATTGCGAGTGCTAAAAGATGCACATACCTGATGTGACTAAGTTGTTGGCCTTCGGGTCGGGCCTTCGGGTCGTTTTAAATTCATGGCCTTCGGGTCGGGCCTTCGGGTCGGAATAAACTGTGGCCTTCGGGTTGGGTCTACGGGTCGATTTATTACTGAAAGTGGCCTTCGGGTCGTGGCCTTCGGGTCGGTATATCTGTGGCCTTCGGGTCGGAATAATTGTGCATATTTGATAATTCGCATGTGATTATTATGGATAAATGCCAAACCTGCAGGGCTGTGATATGAATGATTTGGGCCGTGGGCCTATGAATTTATTGTGAATTGATGGTACACTGTATATGTGTGTTTTAATTGGCTGTCAGGAGGTACATGTTTGCCTAGTTTAGGTTTAGGGGTTATTTACTTGCTGAGATTCGTCTCACGGTTGTTGGAAACCGACTTTTCAGATCCCCGGCAGTGAGGAT